AGTTGCAAACCTTGCGCAGTTACAAACCTCGCGCAGTTGAAAACCACGCGCAGCTGCAAACAGCATAATTTACCTCGCGCAGTTGCAGTCCTCGCGCAGTTAAAGTCCTCGCGCAGTTGCAGTCCTCGCCCAGTTGCAATCCTCGCGCAGTCACCGACCTCGCGCAGCTGCAAACCTCGCGCAGTTAGCGCGCTCCCCATACAATAATACACCGCCCAGATTTTGCAGGTAATTATCTTTCAATTCGTACTTTCCATAAAAAATATTCGAACCAAATCAATGGGGTTCACCAAAAGGGGCCTATGGTCGCAACCCCCTCTCCGGGCCCGTTTTTGCGACCCTAATCGATTTCGTTCAAATTTTCTACGGGTAAAGAATGTGCTAAATTATGATTTCCCTCAAATTCTGGGCGCTGTAGCTCAAACGGTTCTTGAGATACGTGCATGTAAAGTTGATAATCAGGCTAAAAAGTTTGGCGAATTTTCAATTAAATTCGCGTAAAACGACCTTCAAACTCCCTACGGGCAGCTAAAACCAATGCAAAACTTAATCTAGGGATGAAAACAACACTTTGAAGCGCCATTGAAATCTGAGTGTATCACCGGAAAACCTTCCCTTGTTAGACCAGTTACCCCTTACAACACTGCTTTACATTTTTCAAAAATGATTTTCTTCTAACACCTTACTCCTACCTTATATAGCGGAAAACTAAATGTCAGGTTTAGGGAAAATTTCAAGTGCCATCTTTTTCTTACATAAATAACCTACAAGTTTTCCAAGTTTCAACGAAATCGGAGATTTACACCTGAAAAGGTTCCCTTGTAAAGGTGCCCCCATCTCACTCTGCCGTGACCTGCCTTCGCCGATCTCGTCTCTCATCGACCTCTCTCTGGCCAAGGGAGCAAGCACTCCGACTCCCGCTCCGGGGGCCGGGGTTCGGTACCGGGCCGGCGGCAGCTACCCGGCCGAGACGATTGTTTTCATTTTCATCTCTTGCAGAGGATTGTCTGAAGATTGTCTGAGGCTCCAAAGTCTGGTAACGCATTTGCCAATCCGCAGACAAACGGCAGTCAATCCTCAGTCTAACTGGGCTGAGGATCGACTGCCGATGGACTGCGGTCTGGCTGTGGTTTGTCTGACGTTTGTCTGCCGTTTGTCGATGAGGATGGTCACCCGTTTGGCTACCGATAGACTGACGATTGACGACGACCTGCCGTGTAACTGCGCTTTACCTACGAATTAACCGTCACCCTCGACAAGATTCAGACAACATTAAGACAACATGCAGGCTTTTCCTTTGCCTCGGGGTATGATACACGTAACCAGTATCACACACTGATTTACAGTATGCGTAGAATAAAAACTAGTTCAAGAAGCACAAGTTTCACCTCCGAAACGTTAATCACGAGACCACTGAGGGGTGCAGGACACTACCAACCTTGCCTAGTATGCGAAAAAGCGGGGTGGCAAGGCCGAAAAGCGTAAAAACCATCTGGCACAGGGCGGTAGTGCAGAAGATGGACTCGGCCGCGCCGTGAAGCCTGTAAGCACAGAGAATAGGAGAGACATGTGATATTTGATATTTAGTGGTTTTAATTACAGAAGACTAGAGAGTCTTGTTGTACATCATTCTGGAGCAAACATTATGTTCAGGAAAAATGATAACACATTTATTTATTTATTTACTTATTTTGAGGTTGTGTACAGGTGCTAAGAAATGCATGGCAGTCATAGCTTTTTGAGCCCCCACCAACTCAATGTTAAAGCTTCGTCGCTTATCTCCGTGCGGCCTCCCGTACTTTTGTCCCGCACTCCGAAACGAAATTGCCCGCACGAATTCCGAAGTTAAAATATTTTGTGGCCTCCGGGCGGGGTCGACCCCACGACCACCGGGACCTGGGCCCGCTCGGTACCACGGCGCTGCCGAAGTGTTAGTGTTTGCGGATCGGCTGCTTTCAAGTATGCCGGCGATCAAACGCAAAAAGGGCCGGATATGGCATCCGATTATCTATTATGTCTGCATTTCTGACCTTTGCTATGAAATAGAATGTGTTATTCCATACACGCGCCATATGTTAGAGAGCTAATCTAGCAGTTTGAAACTAGCCCATCACGACAACCGACCCGACAAATTTTTATGCTAAAAACTGGCAGTACGGGAGGCCGCGCCAGGTGAGGGGGGGGTCGGGGAGGACGAGGTAGCAAGCGGACGGAAACGCCTATTAGAGCAGTGGACAGGGGTTGTTAACAAGTTGACATTAGGTGCAAAAATAGTTTTCTCTTAAAAGTGTTAATTGTTTTACAATTCAAAATAGCTTCAGGCAGATTATCCAATAAAGGTATTGCGGCTGTCCAGAAGGCACCTCTGGCTTTACTAGTCCAACGTTGAGGCAACCGTAAGATTGGCTTTGTGTACCTAAGAGCTCGTGTATGTACGCAAATTACAAGGACAAGCTTACAGAATAAATAAAATGCTGGATGATTTCGTGACATACGGGCAGGATCATCTCAATCTTCTCCGATGCCTGCAGGCGTGGCGAAGGCACCGTCCTCAATTGTTTTGGAGGATTAGCCCTCAGGCGCTTCATTGCACGGAGACACTTATCGAGACGTTGCGGGTAGATAAAAATGTTGTCTCTATTGCAGAGAGAGCCAGTGCAGGTCTGTATATAGATGGGTAACATGGTCATAACGTAGAACGTCCAGGACAAGGCGACGGCATGCGTTCCGAACGCGTTGAAGGCGCTCCTTTGCCTTTACAATGCATGCCGACACAAATTAGCGCCCTATAATCTTGAATAGGGAAAATTAGGCTTCCTACCAACCGCTTTCTGATCGGGCGTGGCAATAGAGATTTCACTGGTAAAACAAGTGTGCAATATTTGCACACCAAC